GGGGGGGGGGGGGGGGGGGGGGGAAGAACATATTTTTGATTCTGAGGCAAAAACGCTTAGTTTGTCCTCCTTTGCCAGCAGTTTTTCAGAAATAGCGTTTAAACAGTTCCTAGCCCTGGTTACTGTCCTTTTCCATTCCCTCACAGGGCATTTGAGGCCCGTACTGCCTTTTATTTTAAACCGAATAAGTTTTCCCTCTGCTTTTTTTTTAGCTGGGACAGAATCCGAATAGTTCAGCGTTGATGCAAGAAGTTCCGGAAGAGTTTATATTCGGCGATTCTCGAGAACGACGTAATTCCGGTGGTTCAGTGGGAAGCGTTGAAAGGTATTTTCACTGTTATTTTGCCCTGATAACGCAATAGATCGTTTTATTTTCTGCCAAAAAAAAAAAGCGTTATTCACATTTAATAAAAAAAATTGCAGTACGTTGAGCAACATATTTACAACAATTCCGGGAATGTTAAGTTCCGGTCAACGTCTCACAACAATCCCATCAGATGTTGAAAGTGAAAGTGCCGCTACTTCATCACAATTTCAAAGCGCTTCGAAAGAGCAAGTTCGTGGTTTTTTGCCATTTCAGAGATTTCTTGTTATTCTCTCATCTTTTAGTGTTAGAACATCCATAATACCAGAATATGGTTTTTGCTGACCTTAATTTCTTGTCGTTTGTTTCTTTCTAATTATTGTTACGCAGTCCACTTTAAATAATGGACCGAAACATTCCGATTCAGTTCCCTATTTTTATTTTAGCTTTTACTTTTTGCTTTTTACTTTTTAGTTGCAACTTTTTTCATAACCATAAAATATTTAAATTTAAATCAAATAGTGATCTCAAGCATTACGAATGAGAGTCCGGACAGCAATCAGTCTGGGTATCCCATGTTAGTGATGTTATTTGATATGTTTCCCACACTCCAGGCGCAGCAGTGTCCACTCGGTCTTGGACTGCATACCTTCAGTTAGTATCCACCAGCTTTTTGTGTGTACACCATCTTATCGTAAACTGCCGCAAGAATGGTGATTTTTTAAAAGTGAATTGAATTGTTTTTTTTTTCTTCTCAGATTTCAACTGTTCTCCATAAACTGCAAGGCCGTGCAGCAAGTTACAAAGACAAATATCGAGGACTGGTGCAGATATACAATGAGCTTGTGCGCGAAAATGAGAAATATCGGGTAAGCTTTTCAGTTTGTTAAATCTTGTTTCTTTTTTGTTAAATCTTGTTTTTTATGGTAACCTTTAGCTTATCTTAAATTTGTACCGACTTTGGTGGAATGTCTTACAGATTAGCGTAAAAATCATTTCTATAACCCTGAGAGGTAGGAGTACTCGAAAGTAGCCTGAGTGATAGCACATACCAACAGCAAACAGTAGCTGATGGGATTCTCGATGGCGCCGCATTCCGGAAATCTCACGAGAATAGGCTGATACGGTTATTATCGGTCCGATTAGAAAGAAGATGGGCTTATTAGCAGAGGTGTAACAGATTAGTTGAAAAGCTTTTATAAAGGAAGGGCGAATAAAAAGAAAAAAAAAATGAGAGAAAATGCTAAAAGAAAAATTAATTGAAAAGCCTATAAGTGAAAAAGAAAAGTTGTTTTATGAAAAAGAAAAGTAAAAATGAAGAGGAATGTTTGGATCTATGAACTTGTATACATTTAGGGTTAGAGAGAAAAAATATGAGCAAAAAACGATGAAAGGGTTCCAAAGAATTATTTAAGTGGGTAAGAAATGTTTCGGTCCATTAAGTCGTATACATTTCTTACCGTTACCACAGTTGGATCCCTTTCCAGTGTCCTAACTGGATTTTGTCCATGCAACGATTGTAGTATTTTTTGAATTTATTACACTTTTTCTGCTAGTTTGCATTTGTCATCGAAGCAAACGTAAATAACTGAAATGACTGCTCCCCGCCTTGCCATACAGACGACTTTGAGCGTAGAAGCACTGCTTTACACTACTTCAGACGGGCTATGGGAGATGGTTTGTGAGTGGCCTAAATTTTTTTATTGTATTTTAAGACCAATAGTTTTGAGTGATTTCATAAAATGAGTTAAAAAATATTGCTGAAAAGTGGCGGAGAGGTTTATTTTGCATATCAGAATATGTGATTTTCTTCAGAATGCGTTAAAAAGAAGTTTTTTTTTTGGTTACAGTCTGTGCTGACAACAACGCAAGACAAAGCACTTGACAGGATCGAAAAATTGCGGGAAAAAAACCGGAAATTATCGGAAAGAATCAAACAAATGGAGCATGAAAAAGAATTAAAGGCATGTGATTTCTCATATTTTCGGCAAACAGCTAGTCGGAACGATTATGAATTAGATAAACAACAACGCGCACCAGACTAGCCGGTGCGATCATGCGTTTTGTGCAATTCAGCCCATCGAACGATTG